TTTTATGGAAAATTAACTGCTAGCCAATCACGTTCCAAGATTTGCGGAAAAAATGGGGAGGTCGCTGTATGAGTTTATGCATGTCTCAATAGTCCTACTGAAAGAGCGCTTTGTAAGCACTGGAGGTATTTGTTTTAATCTTCTTGGCTGTAAGATAAAAATAAAATTAAACATAAGGACGTACTTACATAATGTTACTATTACCTTTTTTATAGTATGTCATCGAATTCCGACCCTTATTGCTATCGTTGTACGTAAATTTTAGATAATGTTATTTATATTTCTCTCTTTAATTGTTCCAATGAAAAGCCTTACATATCACCAACTATTTATTCATATACTCATATTAACTGTAAAGCTTAAATAATACCAACATTACCATTTTTATAAGTTATTGACGCACACCATTTTTCTAACTTTTGTGTAACAGGTTGGCAGCTGTAAATTGAGCTTAGATCAGATGACAGGAAACAAGAGAAATAATAAAACGCCGATGTTATCCACCTGCATTTTGTATAACACGACGACTTACTATAATCGTTCCGGTTGTCTATTTACTATTTTTAATGGCAAGTATATGGCTCTCATGGCGCATTCTAGTTTTTAACTAAGCTTATAAATAAAGACTCGCATTTTTGTGTAGCGTAGTGCAATAATGTTGTATACTACCATTGTGTTTTGAAGAGCACAATCCACTTTGTACAATAATAGCAAGAAAAGCGCTTGGATACCCAGTTGCAATATATATAAGGATCTACTTTTGACGTCCCTTTGGAATTACCCTAACTAACAAAGTTGAACGTTTTGTGAGAAATTTAAGTTTGACACTTGATTTACGTACGCCTAACCACAAGCAGTAATATCTCGAAAACTCTTTATAAAATGGCGCCACCACTACCAAAAGACAGCACTAACCACGAGCCGAGTGAATTTGCGGCAGCGCATTTAGCGACTGCTCTACCAAACACTGGTTATTATGACCCAAACGATTCTTCCAATAAACCGACCATGGTTGAACTTAACAGACCTGTAGAAGTTCTCCCGGGCGCTAATTCCCAGGCGGTTGATCCTGCAACGGGAATACCATACATGGTTGCAACAACGCGAAGAGAAGGATGCACATTTACATGCAGTTGGGAAATGGCTGTCTCAGTATTTGCTGTCCTGCTAATTTTGGTCGGAATTATACTGTTGGGCGTTGGGCTATCAAATTGCGATGAGTACTATTGTGATCCGGTCATGTATGGTGCTGGTATTGCACTTTTGTGTATAGGAGTTTTTATGGGTATAAGTGTCATAGTTGTAATTTTGGTTCGTCGCCACAATCGGGTAACCACTACTATCAACCATAGTTAACTGTGAATTTATGTTAAAGAGCTTGTAAAAATCCTATATTTATACATACTATGTTCAAGAATACTTTGTTTAAATACATTTTTAAATTGGCAAGTAGAATGGAAACGAGTTTTAAAACGTAATTTTATATCTCCTTTGCGTAAATGAGTATAATTAGTATGATGTGATGTTAATATTTTGTATTTAAACTACTCTATTAAACTTATTCGCTTTGCTTCTACTTGGAAAAAACATGAATGAATATACACAAGTCGACTGACCCAAAAGGCATCAACTGATAATTGACATTCAAATCACTCGACATGTCTATCACTAACAAGTATCCACTAAATTAACTTACTTCTTCTATCTACTATCTATCTATTTACGCTTCATATCGATTGTTATACAGTACAAAATAAAGAACAAAATTTATGGTAAACGGATTATTTTATCTCATCGTATTGTTGGTAAAATATTGTTCAAATGAAAAGTTATCGAATAGCATCAAACATAAAAGGTTATAGTAATAATTCAAAAGACTCTTGCATGTTTGAATCAATTCTGTGTTTGTGTTATGCACAGAGATGTTGAATGGACATCTCTTTCATGCGATTCGGTCCGTCAAACCACTTATTATACAAAAGTTTCCCTTTTCCTCTACGAGGAAACCATTGTGTAATTAGTGCCATTTTGAGTTAGTCTGCTTCTATTAATCCAATTTAACGGAGTAAAATAAAAATATTAACACACAAGTTTATATAGATAAAATGAAATAAAACGACATCAAATATGATCTTGCTAACAACTCCAGGCGTATTCTTTCCGTATTACACAAATTTTCTTCTAAATAATGTTTGACGTGGCTCGATAGTTCAACAAAACGGTTCAAGATCTCCGGACACATGTTAATATTATCAAATAATACGAAACCGCGCACATTTACATGCACAAAAGCTTGGGAACAAAAGTGTTGTCATACCGTTTCGGAAAGATCATAATGCCTCATTACTAAATCTAATTATTATTAACAACTTTTGCGGACTTGTTAATGAACAAAGAATATATTGATTGACAATTTATTCTTACAAAGAACAGATTGTTTCATGTGAGCGTCTAATATCCAAATGAGGGCAATAATTACTATTACTGTGTGCTAAAAATAATCTTTCGATGTAACGTTTAACGTGTGCGTTTCTAGAATTCTGAATTGTACACCATCTTGTACAACGACTATGGATTTTGCACACCGTGTAATAACGCTTGGGATTTTCCGACTGTATGATATTAGATATTTTGAAGAAATGGCATGTTTCTATGTTTAGCGCGCTTTTCTTGCCTTATGTGTGTCACCTTAACTAGGATATAAATTTTTTGGGGGCTTTGCCCCCGTATTGTATTGGATAAACATTAGTAGAAATTCAACTTATTATTCGATATGGACCAATCACTTTTTATATGAATAATAGGATTCGTTTATTGTAAATTATTTATAGTAATGGAAGAAAAAATAGTACAAGTGTTGAAGAAATGCTATAATAATTGGGCATTTCCATCATGGTGGGGAGCGTCTAAAAATTAATGGAGAAAAGCATTAGATACAAATGTTGGATCTGACAACAGACATTTGACAAATGTCGATACATGGGTTTGTATCAAAAGTTTGTTGGAGGAAACGGATATTCCTATGGATAAACATAATAGCTTAGAATTAAGTGTCTCTGCTTGTAATGAATAAATATATCAAGGTTAGCCGGACTAGAGGAAGACAGATCAGACATTTGAGTCTTTAATAGCTATTGCTTCAAAACGACGGTTTTTATAATGAGTACAAGAAATTAACACACACGATAGTATAAGTAACTGAAACAAAGGCTTGCCAAGCAGTTTTGATGGCTAGATTGCAACAGTGAACTTGGAACACTCTGTAATTCAAGGCTCACCTTTTGATTAAATTAAAGACTTTCATAGACTAATGGATCCAAGAATTTGATAGACACTGCAATGTGATGTCATTATACATAAATATTTTCTCTAATATATAGTACCAGTGATAGTATATATACTGTTTTTAAATGAATGGAAAGGTAAACAAATTTAATCATTGCATTGATCAGTATGTAGCTTTAAATGATTTTGGTAACATTCATTCTATGATAAATCTTTATTATTATATCTGTTTATACAGTCATCCCTCGTTTATAGTAACCCACCCTCAGATATATCCCAGCTTTGGGGCTGGACCAATTTCCTCTACTATATGTCAGTATAAATTTCCCTCACTTGTATCCCCCTATCCCCAAATTTTCACAGAGCCCAATTTCCCATATCATATAGAAATATATAATGATCATACTTCAGTTATATCCCCTCAGCAAATTTACCTTACTATATATGTCAATCGTGTTACATAAATATCATGCTATTTCTATATATAGTCAGTCCACCTCTTTTTGGTTAGTAGATTATGGGTTAAGTGCCTACAGAAGAGGAAATTTTTGAAGAACTTCTGGTGGCTGAAGTTGTGTTGCAGCAGACACAAGTGCAAATAGAAGAAGACTCAATCGAAGAGGAGGAAGAGCCAATTTTATACAATTAGGAAGACAAACACTTGAGACAGCTAAAAATAAAGGGGATTTATGACTGAAAATAATGAGATATATGTGTGATATAATTCGTCATTCATTAGAAAAGTTAAAGTGCCAACGGAGTATATTAACCAATAAAATTTCTTGTGCCACTAAACTAAAAATGCCTATACTCAGTTATATCCCACTTCAGATATATCCCCAAAAAGTCTCCATCCCAAAGTGGGGATATAAACAAGGGATGACTGTATTTATAATGAAGTTCAGTCTGAAAAATTTGATTCTAAAACCTTTGTTTAATATTCTGCATGGATAAAATCAGAGAAATTGATTCTAAAGCCTTTGACTACTCCATCCCCATTATAACTAGATAAGTTTGATTCTAGAATGCTGTTGCTCTTGCATCTCCAATCTGATTATATTGAAGTCAGAGATGAATTTGATTCTAGAGCCTTTGCCAATGCTGTTGCTCCAGCATCTCCAATTTCATTAGAGTAAAGTTCCAAAGAAGTCAGAGATGAATTTGATTCTAGAGCCTTTACCAATGCTGTTGCTCCTGCATCTCCAATCTGATTAGATGAAAGATTCAAAAAAGTCAGAGATGAATTTGATTCTAGAGCCTTTGCCAATGCTGTTGCTCCTGCATCTCCAAAGAAATCAGAGATGAATTTGATTCTAAAGCTTTTGCCAATGCTGTTGCTCCTGCATCTCCAATCATATTCTCTAAAAGATCCAAAAAAGTCAGAAATGAATTTGATTCTAGAGCCTTTGCCAATGCTATTGCTCCTGCATCTCCAATCTCATTCTTAGAAAGATCCAAAGAAGTCAGAGATGAATTTGATCCTAGAGCCTTTGCTAATGCTGTTGCTCCTGCATCTCCAATCTGATTAGATGAAAGATTCAAAGAAGTCAGAGATGAATTTGATTCTAGAGCCTTTGCCAATGCTGTTGCTCCTGCATCTCCAATTTCATTAGATAAAAGATTCAAAAAAGTCAGAGATGAATTTGATTCTAGAGCCTTTGCCAATGCTATTGCTCCTGCATCTCCAATCTCATTCTTAGAAAGATCCAAAGAA